AGAGCCGGCGCCAAGGCTGAAAATGTAACCCTATGCCGACCGCTGCGTAGCCAAGTCGTCAACCCAAGAAGCGTCTGCGTGGCCAGTGAGGACAACTTGAGCCCGTCCTCCAAGCACGAGTCCCATGCCCGACGTACTGCACAAGTAGCGCAACACCCTCTTAGCGGCCTCCATGTGCTCTCGACGGTGTCTCCCGGGCGCAACGTAGCGTGCCAGGATGCTAAGAGGGTAGGCAAGGTCAGGTCGAGTGCAGGTCATCAGGTACATGAGGCAGCCCACAAGCTCTGGATACGGGCCACTCGGCTCTACGGACTCATCCGAAGTCAGAGCTGAGAGCGAGTGACCGGTAGGCAGAGGAGTGGACTGTGGCGAGGAGTACATGAATCCGAAGCGCTGATGGACCTGCTGCACCATGTGTGACTTAGTCAAGGTAATGGTGCGCTGTGCTCTGTCCCGGGTGATCTGCAAGCCAAGATAGCTGCGCAGCTCACCCAGGTCTGTGCACGTGTGTCTCTTCTGCAGCTCCGACTTCACGTGGGCCAGTCCGGCAGTGTCAGCAGTGGCAAAGACCAAGTCGTCGACGTACACGAGGATGTAGAACGGCGGCAGAGAAGTGTCGGTGCGTAGAAACAGCGACGGGTCAGCACTCGAAGGAGCAAACCCAAGAGCCGCAAGCGTCGTCCTCAGTGTGTCGTGCCACTCGCGAGGCGCCTGTCGGAGACCGTAGACTGGCCGCCGGAGGCTCCACTGGGTACCAGCAAGAAACGACCCAGTGAATCGAGGTGGGCGGCGCAGCCAGATCTCATCGTGCAGAGTGTCCTTTAAGAAAGCTGTGCTGAAGTCAAGAGAGTGAAGCTCGTAGTCACGCAGAGCAGCGACGTGTTGCAGCACCCGAAGAGTGGTCATCTTCGGGGTAGGGGAGAATGTCTGAAAGAAGTCAACTCCCTGTCGCTGACTGAAGCCTCGAGCAAAGTAACGCGCCTTGAAGGCAGGCGGAGAACCCGGCGGCCGCTTCACCCTGAAAATCCACATGCCATCGACTATGTTCGCCCCAGGTGGGGGAACCTCGTCGACATAGGTGCCTGTGGACTTCTAGGAAGCCATCTCTGCGTCCATGGCTGTCTACCACTGAGAGGAGTAGGGACCCTCTATCGCCTCTGCGTAAGAGCGTGGGGTCGGGATGTCTAGTGCATCGGGGTCTCCCTCAGGTGCAATCAACATGGACACGAGATGAGGTAAAGCAGCGGCAAAACACTCAAACTCCTCCTGCCTGTCCTCAAGGACGTCCGTGCCAAGAGCACACTCACCCCCGACGGACGGAGGACAGACAGACTCAGACTCAGCAACAAGACTAGCGGCGTAGTCGAGGCGACAGGCGGCAGCAAAGTCAACAAGCTCAGCAACTAGAGCAAACGCAGCAGTGGACTCAAACGACGGGTCTGTGACAATAGTGGCTAGAATACGTGTGACAGTAGGACTGGCAGCAAGAGTAAGGTCTGACGGCGGGTCAGCAACGTCACGAAGAGAGGACACAGGTGGAGACGGCAGAGGGACACGCTGTGGAACAGAGGAAGGACGAAGTGCCATCTGGTGCGTGCCTGGGACTGGAGGAGGACGCTGACGCGGAACACGACGACCAGCGCAAACAGCGCGAACAGGCGACGCAGGATGAGACTCAGGCTCACGACGCTCCGCAAGGCCTCCTGTCAGCCCAGTGTAAGGAGAAGGAGCAGGCAGTGGGGAGGCTGGCTGTGACTGTAACTGCGACTAGTCAGGCGGTGGACACAGTAAGGGAGGAGTAGGGCCAGTAGAAGGCGGGAGACCAAGAACCTGCTGAAGGAGTGGAACGAAGTACGGTCGCGGCCGCACAGCGCCTCCAGAACCTGCACCGACAGCACCAGTACCCCCAGCTCCAGGGTCTCCAGCTCCAACGCCAGTAGTACCACCAGCTCCAGCACCTCCAGCAGCTCCAGCTCCAGCGCCTCCAGCGGCTCCAGCTCCAACGCCTCCAGCTCCAACTCTTGCAGCACCTCCAGCTCCAGTAGCTCCAGTACCTCCAGCAGCGCCAACTCCAGCGCCTCCAGCTCCAACTTCTGTAGTACCTCCAGCTCCAGCAGCTCCAGTACGTCTAGTACAAGCACCTCCGGGACCAGCGGCTCCAGTACCTCCAGCAGCGCCAGCTCCAACGCCGGCACCACCTCCAGCTCCAGCAGCTCCAGTACCTCCAGCGCCACCAGGACCAAGGCCTCCAGTGGCAGGCCCTCCAGCTCCAGCAGCACCACAGTGAAGACTCCAGCGCCGAGCAAACCACTCGCGCAGCTGCGGTGGGGAGAGAGGCTTCCGCTGTGACGAGGCACCCGGAGAACCTCCAGTACCTCCAGTAACTCCAGGACCAGCAGCTCCAACACCTCCGGCTCCAACGCTCGCAGCACCACCAGCACCAGCATCTCCAGTACCTCCAGTACGAGCACCTCCGGGACCAGTGGCTCCATCAACTCTTGCAGCTCCAGCTCCAATGCTGGCAGCACCTCCAGCTCCAGTAGCTCCAGTACCTCCAGCTCCAGGGCCTCCAGCGGGAGGCCCCCCGGCTCCAGCAGCGCCGCTCCGAAGGCTCCAGCGCCGAGCAAACCACTCGCGCAGCTGTGGTGGAGAGAGAGACTCCCGTCGGGACAAGGCACCAGTAGGACCTCCAGCAGACTCAGCACCCCCAGGATCAGCACCCCCAGTCTCAGCACCCGCAGGCTCAGCATCCCCAGTCTCAGCACCCCCAGGCTCAGCACCCCCAGACTCAGCAACCTCAGGCTCAGCACCACCAGGCTCCGCACGCTCCGGCTCAGCACCCCCAGCAGCACCACCCCCAGCAGCACCACCAGAGTCGACCGCGACCTTGATAGGCTCGACAGGGTCTACCTGAGACACACCTGAGGGAGAAGGACCCTGAGGGGGGAGGGGGTCTACCGGAGGAGGACCTGGTGCGAGGAAGAGTGGCGGGGGGGGGAGAGGGGCAGATCGGTAGGGGAAGAGGCGGTAAAAGGGAACCGACTCGTCGAACGTGACGTCCTGAGAGGGCAGGACTCGGCGCGAGGTGGGGTGGTAAAACTGCCAGCCAGGCGGTCAGGGGGGAAACCAAGGAAGACGCAGGGAATGGCGCGGGCGGAGAGCTTGTCCGCGGACGTATCGCGGACAAAGGCATGAGAACCCCAGACCCGAAACACCGACGCATCGCCAACCTCCCCCGTCCAACGCAGTGGAGGTCTCCGGCAAGGAGATACGGGGTCATATGTTGAGCTGATGCGCGGCGTACCGGACCGCAAACGGCTACAAAAAGTGGGGGGCAGCCGCATGGATCATGGAGGTACGAGCGACCTCCATGACTAAGCCAATGCGGCGCTCAGCAACCTCATTCTGTTGCGGAGAGGCCGGAAGCATGAACGACTGGCGAATGCCCTCCCCACGACAAAAGTCCTGCAAGAGGTCGGAGGAAAACTCACTACCTCTGTCAGAGTGCAGACGCAGGACTAGAAGGTCCGTGCGGAACCGCTCGCGGAGCTGGAGACGGACAGCGCGGATCCAAGGGATCAAAACATCAGGGACCCCCCCCTTGCTGCACAAGGGGAAGACCGTGGTGTAACGCGAGTAGTCGTCAACGACCAGCAGAAAGTAGCGCTCGCGGCCCTGTCCACGGATGGGGCTGGGCCCCACACGTCCATGTGGAGAGTCTGCAGAGGAGCAGTCGTCGGGGGAAACTCAGAGGAGTGAGGAGCGGCGCGCTGCCGCCCCTCGACACAGGGAAGGCAGGGAGGGGCAGGCGAGGGTGGGAGGGGTGGCAGAGTCTCGGGAAGACCAGAGACAAGGAGACGCGAGTGCATGCCACGAAGGCGCTGCACGGAGGGGTGACCAAGACGGTGGTGCCAAAGGAGGGTCCGGTGCGACAGTGCGTGACATGAGCAGGGGGCCGCTAGCTGACCTGATGCAGACGCAGACGCAGCTACCTGAGGAGACACAGTAGTCAGTGTGTACATACTCAAGCCAGGCGCACGTGTGAACGTGGCCAGGTGCCGGCCAGTCCGGGAGCACGTACAGATCGCCACACGTTGTCCTCCTGGAGTAAAGGTGTCAACCCATACATCCTGAAGGACGGCGTTGCTCACCAAGTTTGTAGAGAACGAGGGGAGGTGAAGACGTGATAGTGAGCCAGACGGAACCGCCGGACACGGGAGAACAGTGGAGGAACGTGCAAGGACTGGGCTCCCAGAGGAGTCAGTCAGAGAGACAGCAACAGGTGCAGGGAGCGGTGTGAGTGCGGTACTGTCGCGAAAGAAACAGCGGGAAGCACCTGAGTCAAGCGTGAAGGTGTGCAAGGCCTCAGCAGGCACAGTACCAGAGAGAGCAGACTCACTAGCACCTAGAGCAGCAGCCTCACCAGCACCTAGGGCAGCAGGCTCACCAGCACCTAGAGCAGCAGACTCTATACCTGGGTCGGGCGGCACACACAGGTAACAGGCACCCTCAGCACTAGCAGGCAATGCATACATGGCAGTGAGGATAGCATCATAGTCAAGAGCAAAGATATCCACCCTCTGCCTAAGCAGCTCCTGCCAGCTGGGGAGCTCAGCCGCGTCGCCAAACTCTGTATGCCAGGCGTCGCTTAGACAGGCGAAGCAGCGGGACAGTGTGTGACCAAGTGTCTCGCAAGTCTGACCAGCCCGATCACCTGTGCGAATGACGTACGAGCAGCGAACAGTACTCCGAGACCCTCTACTCTAATCGTACCACTCACGAAGCTGCTGGGGCGTAAGGGTCTCGCGCGGACGCCGCTGCAGCTGCATCTGGCCACCGCCAGAAACTCCCGCTGACCAGCTCCAGGGTGAGTGCCACTACGGCCGCTGCCACAACCCCAACTAGCGTACCACTCACGAAGCTGCTGGGGCGTGAGGGACTCGCGCGGACGTCGCTAGAGCCGCATCTGGCGATGCCGGTCCAGTGGGCGGCCACTGCTTCTATGTGCTCTGATGTGATCTGCGTGGGGCTGGAACAGGGGGAATAGTAGCACAAGGGGAAAGGCAGCGGAGGAAGGAGACAACAGAAGAGTCAGTGGGTGCAGTGTCTCCCTCTAGAGCCTCTTCTAGGCCTGTCAGGTGCTGCTGGTCGGAGAGGGAGAGCTGCTGCAGGGGAATGCCGGTCCAGTGGGCGGCCACTGCTGCTATGTGCTCTGCTGTGATCTCCGTGGGGCTGGTGGAGGGAAGGAAAGGAAGATACATAGATAGACACAAGGGGGAAGAGGTATGGATGAATGGGTTGCTGCCGGCTGCTGTAGGGGGATGCCGGTCCAGTGGGAGGCAAAGGGTGGAAGATGTGGGAGGCGATTCAGGGGGAAGCCAGTCCAGCAGGTGTGGTTGTTTGTGAGAGTCGAACGATGGAAGAATGGCAGATAACGCTGTCAGTGTGTGTGTGAGAGTTGTACGATGGGATAACAATCGCCTTACCGGTCGTCCTTGTCACTGCCAGTGACGCCACTCTTGGACCGACCAGCAACAGCAGCAGCGTCAGCAGCGGTGGTGGTGTAGCGTGGGTGTGATTGTTTGTGAGACTCAGATGGTGGTGTCATTATGAGTATGATTATGCGTGACGGTAAGAGGTAGGTTTCACTCACCTGTCGTCCTTGTCACTGCCAGTGATGCCACTCTTGGAGCGACCAGCAGCAGCAGCGGTGGTGGTGGTATTAATGGGAGTGTTAAGTGTGTGATTCATACGGTGATATTGGCGTGTGTGTGAGTGGTGAATCTCACCCGTCCTCCTTGTCACTGCCAGTGATGCCACTCTTGGAGCGACCAGCAGCAGCAGCGGCATCAGCAGCGGTGGTGGTGTCGGCATGAACGTGGTCTTGAGAGAGGAATGAGGTGAGCGAGGTGAAGGGATTCTGGCGAGCATATGCCTGTGGAAGAGAGAAAGAAACAAGGGGTTGGGGGAAGAAGGGGGGGTGAGAAGCACCAGCGGCGTCAGCAGCGGTGGTGGTATTGGGGTGAGTGTGAGTCTAGAGAGAGGAAGGAGGTGAGCGAGGTGAAGGGATTCTGGTGCACATGTGCCTGCAAAGGGAGACACAATCAGAGAAAAGAAGAGAGAAGTCTGAGGGATTCCAGCAGGCACAGGCCTGGAGATGAGAGGAAACAGAACACGTGGAATACGGGAGCAAGTGAACGAAGGAGCAAAAGAGCAAGGGAAAAGGGGAGCAAGGGAACAGATGAGGAGTAACAGATGAGGAGTGAGGGAACACAGCAGAGGGAGAGGAAAGAGGTGAATGAGGTGAGAGCTTTGCGGCAGGCCGCCTCCCCTGCCGCTGCTCTACTGCCACACTACAACCTCAGTATTTAACCCCTCGAGAACCTTGTCTCACCACACACAAAACTGTATCAAACCAATCCTCACCGCATTGGAACCACCTTCACCGCACTGCACCCATTCTCACCGCTTCATGTGCAGCCTGCGCCATCCTGATCTCCCGCCAGTACTCCTCTGCACCCCTCTCCAGCACCCCACTCACCCTCCTCCTCCTCCCCTTGCTACCCTCCACCTTGCTCCTACAGGCTTCTCGCTTTGAGGCACTTACCTCCAAGAACAACCCGATCTAAACGCATTGAACCCATTTCCACCGCACCGCAGTAGAACCACCCTCACCGCATTGCACCCATTCTCACCGCTTCGTGTGCAGCCTGCGCCATGCGAATCTCCCGCCAGTACTCCTCTGCACCCCTCTCCAGCACCCCACTCGCCCGCCGCCTCCTCCCCTTGCTGCCCTCCACCCTGCTCCTACTAGCCGCCTTGTCTATCAGGTCAATTGCCCTGTCGGGCAGGCAGCGATCGGGGATGAAACAAGCATAGAGGGTGACTGCTGCTGCCAGAGTATCGTCCGTGAGAGTGCACTTGTGGTGTGCCTCGTATAGGTGCCTCAGGCCGTGCAGAATCGCCAGAGCCGCCTCCTGAGAGGATTTCAGGGTTTAGGGAGGGAGCGGAGGAGAATAAGGGACAAGGGGTGGTGCTGTGAGTCGCCTGCTCCCCTCCCCCGGCTGCCCTCCACCCTGCTCCTGCTCGCCGCCTCGTCTATCAGGTCAATGTCCCCTCGGGCAGGCAGCGATTGGGGATGAGACGCGAGGAGAGGGGAGAGGGGAGAGGGGAGAGGGGAGAGGGCCACAGCTGCCATGAAGTGAGAGCACACTTGTGGTGTGCCTCGTACAGGTGGCGCAGACCTTGGAAGTATGGCTAGAACGGCTTCTTGGGAGGCGGGAAAAGGAAAGGGGGGAAGGAGAGAGAGGAACAAGACATGAGAGGAGGGGGAAACGGCTGCTGCCAGGGCAGAGTCGGTGAGAGTGCACTTGTGGCGGGCCTCAGGCTCTGGAGGATGGCTGCTTCCTGGGAGGGGGGAATCTGGAGAAAAAAACTGATAAAAACTGGAGCGGCTTCCATAAGGTTTTCGGCTTTGTCACTGATAAAAAGGAGTTTTTGAGACGTCTCATACAGCTAGTTTTGAGACGTCTCATACAGCTTCCAGGGCGGAATTGGTGAGAGCACACTTGCAAAAGTTTCGGGCCAAAGCCTTGTCCTTCTTCCCATGTCGAATCCACCCCACCCCCGGTACAAAAACACAGCCACCCACTCACCCCTGATGGCTCTTCCATAGTCAGCGGCTGAAACTTTTGAGTCGACTCAAAACACAGCCACCCACTCACCCCTGATGGCTCTTCCATGGTCAGCGGCTGAAACTTTTGAGTCGACTCAAAACACAGCCACCCACTCACCCCTGATGGCTCTTCCATGGTCAGCGGCTGAAACTTTTGAGTCGAATCAAAACACAGCCACCCACTCACCCCTGATGGCTCTTCCATGGTCAGCGGCTGAAACTTTTGAGTCGACTCAAAACACAGCCACCCACTCACCCCTGATGGCTCTTCCACAGTCAGCGGCTGAAACCGCATGGCCAATGCTTTGGCCCTCTCCGCACACGATAAAAGAGCATCCCACTCACCTCTGAGGGCTCGTCCAGAGTCACGGGTTGAAAGCGCCTGGCCAGCGCATTGACTTTCTCCCCAATAAAGAATCACCCATACCACATCTGCGTTATAGCAGCCTCCCACTCACCTCTGAAGGCTCGTCCACAGTGACTGGCTGAAAGCGCCTAGCCAGAGCCTTGTCCTTCTCCAGATGCTTGCAAAACTCATTGGTGGTGGTTGTGGCAATGCACTGGTGGTTGAGGAGGAGAAGGTGTGTAAGCGAGGGGTTAGAGTGTAAGCGGGCGGGAGGGGAGGGTGGGGGCAAGTGGGAGTGCATTAGATGCGAAGCCAGAGCCTTGTCCTTCTCGAGGTGCTCGCAAAACTCATTGGTGGTTGTGGTGGAGATGCACTGATATGGAGGGGGGGGGGGGGGGGGGGAAGAAGGAAGAGGAGAGGAGAGAGGAATGGGAAGGCATAAGGCACTGGACAGATGCGAGGCTATGGTATGGTGTGAGCCTTGTCCTTCTCGAGGTGCTCGCAAAACTCATTGGTGGTTGTGGTGGCGATGCACTGATGAGTGAGCACCGTTCCCCTCGTGACATAAAAACAGAAGATCTAGCACAGATGGTGTTGTGTATATCTTACATAATCATCGCACTCTACTGGAATCGGCACTCTTGCCATCCATACCTGAATCTTTCCCCTAGTCAAAGCAGTTTTGAGCAGATTAGAGATGTCTGAAGCTGAACCCCCACCTGCCTCGTCCCCTTCCTGCGGCTCCAGCTCCCACCATCGTGTGCACCTCTTCTATCATCAGCACCACCTCTATTACCCAGCACAAACACACTAAACCGCACTCAACCGCCCTCTGCCTCACCTGAATCTGCCCCCTGTACAAAGCAGGCTTGAGCAGGTTCGAAATATCCAATCCCGATCCCCCGCCATCTCGCCCCCTCCCCACGGGCACCAGCCCCCACCATCGCATGCACCTCGTCTATCACCAGGAATATCACCACCTCTGTTACCCAGCACCACTGGACTAAACCTCTCTCAACAGCACTCAGCAGATGACTCTCACCTGAATCTGGCCGCGTGATAAGGCAGGCTTGAGCAGATTCGAGATGTCCAATCCCGATCCTCCGCCGTCCCGTCCCCTCCCCACGGCGCCAGCTCCCACCATCGTATGCACCTCATCTATCAACAGGATCACCTCCCCCGCTGCTGCCACCGCCTCTGCCACCAGCATAGTCACTCTGAGTTCCAGTTCCCCCCTCTCCTTTGCTCCTGCCATCACCCTCCCCATGTCCAGCGACCGAAGGCGCTTTCCCTGGTGGAAGGAATGGGGGAAGGGGAGAAAGAGAGACGGTTTAAACCAACCATCCCACAATGGAGAGCACACTTACGGCCACCGTGAAGCTCTGGTGGAGGAGTGATGCAATGGACACCTTGCCTATCACCACCTCTCCATTGCTGCCACCGCACACTTGAAGCGACCCTTCAAGAAACCCAGCTCACAAAACGCTCACCTGCAGAACTAACTTCACGGTGCATCGTTCTTGGCAATCCTGACCGCCAAGCCCTCCCCTACGGCTGCCTTGCCCAACCCCTTTGCTATGCACCCTGTCCCCCTGTCAACCCATTCCCTCCGCAGCACAACACCGCTCACCTGTAGGAACGGTGGCACGTCGTTCTCGGCGATCCTCAGCGCCAGCCCCTCTGCAATGGCCGTCCTGGCCACCCCCCATGATATTTGCCAAGCCTTGTACTGGCAGAAACCCACTCAACAGCAACAACACCACCCAACTGACCCCTACTGCAGCCACCCTTGTGAGGCACTTACCTAGGAACGGCGGCACATCATTCTCGGCAATGAGCAGCGCCAAACCCTCCGCTATGGCCGTCTGCTGTCAACGTGCCCCTGCTACCCCATTTCCACCCCAGCAACATGACCTCTCACCTGCAGGAACGGTGGCACATCGTTTTCGGCGATGCGCAGCGCCAAACCCTCCGCTATGGCCGTCTTGCCCACCCCTGGCTCGCCCAGCAGCAGAGGGTTATTCTTGGTGCAACGAGCGAGGATCTGAGGGGGAGGAGAAGGAGAAAACGCGAGAATTGGGAGGTGAGAAACAGGGGGAAGCGGTTGCGTGAAAAGAGGGCTATACATGGCCGTCTTGCCCACCCCCAGCTCCCCCAGCAGCAACGGGTTGTTCTTGGTGCGACGAGCTTGGATCTGAGGGGGTAAGGAGCAAGAGAGGAGGGCGGGAGAATGGAAGAGTGAGAGAGGGGACGAAAGGACGAACAGAGGCATAGAAAAGGGGGAGATGGCCGTCTTGCCCCCCCTGGCTCGCCCAGCAGCAGAGGGTTGTTCACGGTGCGACGAGCAAGGATCTGAGGGGGAGGAGAAGGGGAGAGGTGAGAGGGAGAGGGTGACGAGTAGCAAACGATTGGTTCAGAGGGTTGTTTCACGTGCGATGTGCAGGATCTGAGGAGGAGGAGAAGGGGACAGGTGGGAGAGAGTAGAAAGAGGGAAAATAATTAGGCTATTAAGAGGGCTACCTAAAGCCGTCTTGCCCACCCCTGGTTCGCCTAGCAGCAGCTGGTTGTTGCTGGTTCGATGAGCGGGGATCTGGGGGCGAGGGGAAGGGGAGAAGTGGGAGTGGGGGGAGTAAGGAGTGGTGAGGAGGAAAGGGAGGGACAAAGTGTTGAATCAGGAACGCAGACGTCTCCTCCGCCCACCCCTGGCTCTGTCAGCAGCAGCGGGTTGTTCTTGGTGCGAGAGCGAGAGTGGATTTAGCCCTAGGCTGTCGAATACTGAATGCTGCCAACTCCCAAGGCCACCAACGATACTAGATTTGTGTTTAGGAGTTAGCTAACACCCTTGCGTGTTCTTTGAGAGCCCTTCTCCTCCATATACGTTGGCTTTCTCGAGAGTCCTTCAAATTCGCATTCACGGCTGATGCATCACCACTGCTCTTCAAACGACACTTCACAGTGTGAATAGCAGTCGCGATGCACCAACAGTGAATGATACTGGTCACTCATTCTGCAACCTTTTATGGCATGCTGAATAGCGGAATCGAAAGACTTCCGAGAGAGCCAATGCATATAGAAAAGAGAGGTTTTTGGGGAATGCATAAGTGCTAGCCAACTCAGGAGCAATCTCACCCTGCACCGCAATGCTTGTTCGGTGTACACACCCATTATCCCCATTACAGTCATATCTCAGCACAAGCACGCACCTACACCACCCGCACAACCTCCTGCTCTCGACCAATCACCGGGTCGATATCTCCCTGCACCAAAATAACCGTTAGATGCTCCATAGAGTCATGCAACCAGTCATAATTCCACACAATCACGCACTTCACCCACCTGCACCAAACTGACAACCTCCGCCTCTCGGCCAACCACCGGGTCGATCCCTCCCTGCACCGCCATGGCCGTTAGATGCCCCCACTCGTCCACTATCCCTGTTACAATCACATCTCAGCACAAACACGCACATGCACCACCCTGGCGACCTCCTCCTCTCGGCCAATCACGGGGTCGATCCCTCCCTGCACCGCCATGGCCGTTAGATCCGTGCAGAACTGCTCCAACGCGCTCTGCTGCGCTGCTGGTTGGTGGTGGGATAGGGAGGAATGCGGTAGGGTGGGTTGGGGTAGCGTGGGGTGGGACGGGTCGATCTCCCCTTGCGCAACCATGGCTGTTAGATCCGTGCATAACTGCTCCAACGCGCTCTGCTGCGCTGCTGCTTGGTGCGGGAAGTGGAGAGATGTGGGAACGGGAGGAAATGGAAGGAAAGAAATGAGAATTTCCTAAGCTCTTCTCCTTCCATCACTGCCAGTGAGATCGGTGAGATCTGCTGCGCTGCTGCGTGTGGGGGAATTTGTGGGTGCGAATAGCTTGGGAGGAAGAGAGAGAAAACATTAACAAAATGTTCCTACATTCTTCACATCCTTTCAGCGACAAATGTTCCTAGTTTTCCACCACTTTGCACTGTCGTGGCCTTCCTAATGTGCAGAAGAACTGCGTTATAGCACTTTGCACCGCTACTGCAGAGCAGTGGGGGAAGGAATATGGAAGCTGAGGAGGGGAAAACGGATCACAGAAGGCCGGGCTTAAGCGATACCATTTTTTAGACGCCTTTATTTTGGGTGCCACAAAAATTCTGCACCTGAGCCGCTCCAACGAGCAATGCTTTCATTATGGTTCTATTTAGAATCGGATACAAATTGGTTACATGAATCTGCTAGTTGATATCGTTCCTGTTGCTTCGTTACTTTATCTCGTTTCTATTTCGCCGAATTCGCACTTAAAGTCCGCGCAACACAGGAAATCGGTTTTCCCTTCTCACCTTTCTTCCCACGCCCCTTGCGGACTGGCGAACTGGGACTCTTGCTGCTACTAGGACTGGTGGGGCTGGTGGAGGGACGCGAGGAGGGGTTGGTGATCAATTCCGAGGAGCGGCCATCCCGGTCCAGCTCGCCCTTGAGGCGCACCAATGCTGCTTCATGCAGGCGATGCTGCAGCACTCCCAAGCTGAAAGTCAACGCAGTCAATGCAGTCAACAAGGAAGAGGAGAGCGCCCGTCCTGGTCCAGCTCGCCTTTGAGCCGCGCCAGCGCTGTCTCGTGCAGGTGGTGTTGCTGCACTCCCAGGCTGCCAGTCAACAAAGTCAACGCAGTCAACACAGAGAGTCAACGCAGTCAACAGAGGAGAGCGAGGGGGTTAGAGGAGCGCCCGTCCCGGTCCAACTCGCCCTTGAGCGCGCCAACGCTGCCTCGTGCAGGCGATGCGGCTGCACTCTCAGGCTGTCAGTCAGTCAACGCAGGCAACACAGTCAACGCAGTCAACAGAGGAGAGGGACAGACAGAGAGAGTAATTCAGATGAGCGAGTGAGTCAATACCGCTGCCTGCTGCTGGCAATGTTGTACGCAACGTTGCAAGCCGCTGCTGTAGCTGATGTTTACCCCCCTACAGTTTGACACCCGGTGCAAGGGGCCCTTCTCTCACCTCGCCATCACCAGCGCCGCATCCTCATGTTCCACCTGCACCAGCACATCACCTCCTATTCCTCACGCGTGCACCGAATACCATCTTACGGTCGTGCTTCTCAACTCTCTTCTCACCTCGCCATCACCAGCGCCGCTCCCTCATGTTCCACCTGCACTAGCGCGATGAAGTTATGACGATGCTTCCCCTAAGACATGGAAATTTGCTTTCTACTTGCAAATGATGATACGTACCATGTTATGTTTGCAAGTTTCACCATGTGTCGTCTTTAGAAACCCCTCACCTCTCCATCACCAGCGTCGCTCCCTCCTGTTCTACAAGCACCAGCTTGACACCGCAGATGCCGGTGTTGGAACAAATAACTCACTAGTACTCACCTCTTTACTCCAAAGTCAAACCTCTCACCTCGCCATCACCAGCGCCGCCCCCTCCTGTTCTATACGCACCAGCGCGACCGCCAGATGCGCGTGTTGGAACACATCAGCCACTAACACTCACATGTTCACTCCAAAGTCAACGCATCTCAACTTTTCTCACCTCGCAATCACCAGTGTCGCTCCTTCCTGTTCCACTTGCACCAGTGCCAACACCAGATGCTCTGTCGCGATGAAGTTGTGACGATGCTTCCGCGATTCAATCGCCTTCTCAAACACCCGCTTGCTGGCGCTCGAAAACGGCACCTCCGACGCAGGTTTGCCGGCCGACAGACCCCCTGCGGCTGGTAGTCGGCCGTCTCAAATCAACTCGCCGACGGCACCTCGCGGGTTGCGGATAGTCATCCCCAAGCCGAGATAACCGCCAGGTTTCCCATCACTCGCGAAATTCTCCGCAATTAGGCCGAGTAGAAGCTGCTCCGTCGCGACCTTTTTCCGCCCGAGCACCTTAGCTTCCGCCTGAGCCATCATCACGGCTTTAATCGCCCGCTCCGTAAAACGCTCGAATACCGCTATCACGACCGCGTGCCGGCCGCAAGAAGCGGCCTCGCCAGTGGGGCTCACAGAGAGCGATGGAGTCTGAATTTGACGGTCGGAAGCTTCATGGAAGGCGGCCGAGTGAGAAAGATAGAACGAGGAGGAATTTCCGAGGAGCCTCTGACGGTGCAGGCCGTCAAACGCGCCGCGAAACACGGAAGAAGCGGCATGGGAGCGGGTCGTGGACGAATTGAGGTGAGAATTGAGCTGACGCGGAAGGGGAGAGGAACGGGGTAGTGATGAACAGACGAGAGAGGAGGAGGGAGCGATAACTGCGGAGGAAAGAGATGACGGGGAGAAAATAGACGACGGAGACGTCTGGCAGTTCATGGTGATTAGTGAATGAGGTCCTGTGGAGCCAAATTGTGGAATTCAAATTCGATTGCAAAAGCTTTGGACTGCGAAATCTGAAAACGAGAGCTTGGAGTTCAGAGGGAGCTTTTGTAAGACGTCGAGGAGAAAAAGGCCTCTCAAAATTGTTGCTCGCACAAAAGCTGATTCTGACCAGACGCGCGGAGAGACGAACACATACTGAAGCTGGAATTACGAACGGATGAGGAACTGAGCTACGGTATGCTGCAAACACCGGGGGAGGATCGGCTCCAAACACCGAAATTGTATGCATCGCGTACGAAAAACGGATATCAATCTGCATGAGCAGTGTTGGCTGCTTCACCGAGCCAATTGGGACACGACCGGATTTGCAAGTTGGGGACCTCCATGCCAACAGCGATACACGCGTGGTAGCGCAGGAGCCGTGCTTCGCTGGCGTGTCGTGCATTTTCGCATGTTGGTTTCTGATGGGTTCGATTTCAGGCTGGATTCCGCGTCGCCCACCGACAAATTGTGATGTCGCCCTGTTACCACATCGAAAGTAGCCGGCAGTATGCGACGGCGATCGATCGTGGCTGCCACTGGTGGCGCGATTTCAATTCCCGCGCTGCCAATCGCACGATCGATGTGGCAGTTTGAGCCATCCGATCTCGACAATATGCGTGTGCACGATCTTCGCGACAGTCTAAACGAAAACGGGATACATAGATTTTACGAAATGGCGAAGTCATTGTACATTGTGCACACCGATCTTTCACCGATCTTTCACAGTCACTAACAAAATGGCTCTCGGGGGACAGAAATTGGTGTGGTGTGGGTGGAGGGGGGGAAGCTCCATGGAAGCTCACATGCTGCCCGTCTTGTGTTCGCGTGCAACCTGGGTTTCACACTGCGAGAAAGCGCAGCAATTTTGCGATAGCAGCGATCTTCGCCACGGGTAAACTGTGTTGCCATTAAAGTGGTTACCGGCTAGTTTTCGAAACTCTGGGCGAAACCGCAATGAATGAACACTGAATGGCAGCAATCAGCTAAGTCTTGGCTCTGACTGCCCGAGCCCGCCTCGGTTTCTCAACACCTTTCCGCCCTGTCATGCGAAGCTCCGCCGCATCCACGCGCTCAATTCCCCCACACTGCGCCACACTTCTTGCCTCTCTGGCAGACCCCTCCGCTGATTGCCCGAGCTTGCGCGCCGCAAATGCCCATCTGAAAACTGCCAGCTTGATTTCATGACAGGTGACATGGATCCACATTCGCAGATCCAAAGGCAGACTGTGACATGCTGCCAATGAGATCGACGCCGGAGTGAGGGAAGGAAGGTGATCTGCTGATAGCATGGGCTGGGCCGGTCCCTCAAGAGCGCTTTATTGGGCTGAACGACGTGTGATTCCGGGTTACCGCGTCAGCCAAATATGCCTTCGTGGCCTTGAAAAGTAATCCTCGTTACCGTTCTCCCTGTTCAACCGTACATTTTCGTGTACCACTAAGACGTTCCAAGAGCTTGACATCCAAATGCTGCTAAATTTTCTTCCCCAAATGCAATGTGGTGCATGAATGGCTTTCATTAATCAATCAAGCGTCCAATCCACATCCATCTCGTCTACAATCTTCAGTTGACGCTTGCAAGGCAGTTATTTCCCCCTATCTTGAGATGTCAGTGAAATCTTACTCAGCCTTTCCAAGATGGCAGCTTCTACATCTTTGATGTCCTCAACACCCAATATCTTGGAGCACTCTTCTTGAAAATGTGGATTGCTGGAATCCGCCACTATGGCTGCAAGGCTGGTTGCCAGATCTGGCAAGCAATTGCCAACCTGAAAGACAAACTCATCATCCACTGCTCCACTCGACCACAAGATAGTGTGCATGGCATTGCTTGTTTACTTTCGCTTGATGTACGGATGAAAACTCTCCAGGAAGCTGAGTCTTGAGCTGTTGCAAGGATGCGATAACTGCATTCTTGACAAGCTTCAAAAGGATCTTCCGCGGAACAGTCTCAGATTTTGCGCTGCTTTAGGGGAAGTCCTCAAGAGGGGGTTGGGTACAGCATACCGTAGAATGCAGTGCACGTCAACCAAAACGAGCAAACACAATATGTGGGGAAATTGAGCGCGTGGATGAGATATGTTGGCAGGGCATATGAGATATGCTGGCTATGCAAGAGATATGCGCGTGGAAAGGTGAGAAAGCAAGAGGCATGGGTGAATGGGAGCAAGACACATACGATGAGATATGTTGGCTGTGCAGATGGAGACATATATTGAGGTGCTTCTCCATATAACTCTTCTCGGTGTGGAGAATACCGTAAAAACTGTGAATTGAAGCATCCGCAATGCTGATTCCGAAACCGCTCCAGAGCTTGCTTTCAGATAAGGCCATTATGAGACTGGATCCATCAAGAAGGGGCGACCAGTCTTTGAACACCTTCACCTGGAAGTGAAAAAGCACTTATTAATGCTTCAAAAAAAGGGAGAAACAGGATCATGGTCCGTAATCTCGTTTTCACTCACAGTGATGTCGTCCTCTGACCCTTCTTCGTACGAAACAATGCAGTCCAGATTCCCTGACCGGTGAGTCGTGCTTCCTGATGTGACGCTTGGAGCAGCCTTTGGCTGCTATTGCTTCATTTCTGGCCTGTGTTCACGTTCTAATAACAAGGACTGGATCACGCCTGCCTTGAACCTTTCTAATCAGCTGAGCTCAAAGGCTTCGTCATCTTGAGCATATGATAACTGTATCACTCCAAGGGCGGCCTCTTTTGGTGCGGATGGTAAGTCATGGATCAACGTCAGAAACTCGTCGCAAAAATTTCCCAAGGTAAGGCTCCTATAAGTCTGAAACGTGTCATGGAAGATGAGGTGGTAATTCACGCCGCAAGTAAAGAACCAGCAAACAAATTTGGAGTATCTGTGATTGAAGTACGGTAACCTGAACACAAACAAGGTGTAATTTCAGTATAAATCATTGCGTTCGCGACTTGTGGCATAACAATGTGTACGTACCATCCCGACGAGCTCGTAGAGTCTCAACGCAGCATCCTCTACGACTCCATGAAAATCGAAAGAAACCTCAAAGCCAGAAAAGTAGGCTCCCTTTGGCTTCCCAATCGAGGGGAGCTGAGACCATGTCGGTTGTCTTTCAGCTGGAATGTCTACAACATACCTCTTGACGTCGGTGTCATGAATTCCTGTGGCAATTACCCACATGAATGTTTCCATTAATTCAAACCAGAAAATGCCCACAACACACTTACCTGTGGTCATCAAAGCAACGGCGTCACCTAAGGGAAAATCGGGAAACTTGATGTTTTAGATTTCTCCCAGGCAACAGATTGGCTACAGCTTTGGAAGGTTCCGAATGGCCAACAGAGTCTTGTAGAGCTCTCACCCCATGCAATATGTAGGAATCCAAGTGCCCCAGCCGTCTGCAGGAAGGAAGTAGACGAAACTAGACGATTGATGAAGGTTGCGGGATTTTTGTCTGCCAGGCTCTCCAGTGTGATTTATCGCAAATGTTCCTTTTGAGATTTCGACATGATCTGAATTGACACCAGCAACTTTGGCTAGCGAGATAGTGATGCATCTGGAATCTGCTTCATCCATAGATGCAGATTGACAGCACCTAATGGCTTCGATGACCAGAGCGTGAATTGCTGCCATTCCGTCTACCCTAGCAGGACAGACCTCCATCTTGCGATTTGACAAAGAAGAAACGGGAGCCAATCAAGCCTAGAAGGAGAGGATGATCGTCGTCAACTAGCTGTGGTATTGCGATGAAGTGCTACCGTATCACCCCGGATTGAAGCGCACCTGCGCTTATAATAAAACATTGATTTATAGGGGGGTGCGCTTATAAATGAGTCACGGGCATAAGCGCATGCGCTTATATAATGACAAATGTAGAAATATATTTTAAGCGCACCAAAATGTGCATCTTAGTCTTGCAATTCCAGTCGAATCGAAATGTTAGCGCGTCATAGATCAGAATCGCGCGATTGTCTGCCAGCGCAAGGGTGGGCGAGGACACGTCATTCCGTAGGGGAATGTGTCACCGGCCCACTGTTGCGAGGCACAGAATCCGGTCGCTCGCAGGGCAGGAGCACGGTCGAGCCCCCCCCCCCCCACGTTCGTGCTGTCAGTCAGCTTCAGCTTCGCGCCCGTTTCGGTTTTTCGCGAGGCAGAACAGAACGGGCGATTTTGTCGGCCGCTTCTCGTGAGGGTTGTAGGGTAGACTCGCTGCAAAGCGGAAAATCGTTACGGAAATTAGAATACAATTATGCATGCGCTTATAATAAGTAAAGTTTTTACAGGGGGTGCGCTTCTAATTGAGGATCGGCCATAAGCGCATTGCTCCAGATATAAGCGCATGCGCTTTTAATAGGCCTGCGGTTATATCCGGGGCGATACGGTATTGGAGTTTTATGGATGTTCGCTTGGGTTCTAGGGCCTGGAGAACCACTCCGAGAGGAATTAACGACGCTTCGACTAGAACGAACGAGTACACGGTGTGCAATTCCTAAACATCAACAGTGCAAAACAAAAATATAAACTATTCGAAAAATAGCTTCGTTCTTTAACGGATTCAGTTGACGATTCTCCTCTCCATCGATCTGGATAAAATCTGCGCAAGGGATAAAAAAAACAAAACAAGACAACATATCCGGTTGAGAAATGGGAGTGGCAGTTTGGTGGGGAGTGATATTTGAGGTAAAACAAAACGTGTACAGATCAAGCACTCCACTTACCCCTGGTCTGTACAAAGTGCTGCTTAAATCATCAACGCACCTTTGCATTCCCTGATTGGTCGAAGTGAGCCCGTGACACAACCGCCTGGTTGGAAGAAAACAGCCACCCAACCTCCACACAAAACAATCTTTCTCCCGACAATTCATCCACCTTATGCACATGACTCCAGACTCTCTGAAAGGCCACAGTGGCAGCAGGGGCAGAAAGGGGAGGAGGAAAATGAAACGAGAGAACGAGGAAAGATTTGAGTGGTAG